ATAAGCAAAAAAGTAGATAAGAGTCTGTTACAAGATTGAGAAGATTCCTTAGGGTGTGATCAGGAAGGAATTCATAAGACCTCTGACCCTTAGGATTACATACCAGAGCCAAGTCCACCCAGGGCGAGCTTCCCAAGATAAGGTTTGTAGATGGCTTTTCACAGTTTACTAGCTGCTGCCATTGAATTGTTTAAAAGTTATGTGTAGGTATTGATTGTTCTGGAAAGTTATTTATGATGTAACCCGTGATTATGCACCTGGTACAATCTTATCATTCTCCCCTCCTTAAACCTCCTTGAAGGATTATTGGTTTTAGGGTATATAAGCACTGATGTAAAAGAATAAAGTAGTTTTGATCCTGCACTCAACCAAGACTTGACTTGCTTTCTTTTCTTCGCCGACGCCGCTCATCCAAAGGGAACCCCTGGACTCCGCTGGGGCTGGACCCTGGCAATTATTATTATTAATAATTAGATATCTGTATGTATTGTGAAATAATTATTACAGCCTTTTTACATAATATCCATTATGTTAGTAACACCCATCACTTCAGTTACCATTTTTTCTTGTGTTGAGAACTTTTAAGACTTATTCTCTTAGCAATTTTCAAAGTTATAATAACAGTATTATTAATTATAGTCATTATGTTGAACATTACATTCCCAGAATTTATGTATCTGATAACTGAGAATTTGTACCTTTTGACAACATATGAAGAGGTCAATTTTATTCTGAAGATTTTGGTAAATCTTCCAAGTTTCCAAAATGTTTCAAAGTGAGAAATATTGCTCTTCATATGAGATCATAGGTAACAGAAGAGAATCTTACATTCAGGCCCGTAAAAAAACTAATAGTAAGAGAAGCTGTAGTTACTAAACAAGATGATTTGAAAATCTGTCAGAGGATGTAGAACTGGAAGACTGTACTTCAGGAAAATGGAAAATGGATAATTGGATACCTGAAATTCCATGATGAGACCAGGCCAAATAGAAACTGTAATAACGAGAGCTTAGCTATGAGAATTTTCCGCCATGACAGAACTTTAAAGACATGCTTTTTATATTAACTAAAGATATTCACAGTTGAAAATGCCAAAGTCTGCACAATGCCATATCTTCCTTCACAATATTTAAAATCCACAGGATACTTGGATCTCAGTGAAAACTTGATGATTGGAGAATAATTGAAACAGTCAGTTCAAAGGATGCCTCATGCTCCCTACATACTTTGCATTTAAGACAAAATAATATATAAATTCTGAAGAATGTTACTTTCTTTAGAAAAAACTAACATTGAATTTGATCAATGTCCACTTGGTTCTTCACTTAAATCTCATTAGTGGCCAGAAAATTTATCCAATGCAAATATTAAGTAGAATCTAACACCCAGTGTTTCCCAGACACTAGGCATATTAGATGTTAGCAATGTTGTTTTTCAGTCGCCAACTTGTGTCCGACTCTTTGCGACCCCATGGACTGCAGCATGTCAGGCCTCCCTATCCCTCACTGTCTCCTGGCGTTTACCCAAGTTCATGTCCATTGAATCAGTGATGTCATCCAACTACCTATTGTCTGCTGTCCTCTTCTCCTTTTGCCTTCAATCTTTCCCAGCTTCAGGATCTTTTCCAATGAGTTTGCTCTTCATAACAGGTGGCCAAAGTGTTGAAGCTCCCGCTTCAGCAACGGTCCTTCCAATGAGTATCCAAGGTTGATTTCCTTTAGGATGGACTGGCTTGATCTCTTTGCTGTCCAAGGGACTCTCAAGAGTCTTCTCCAACACCACAGTTCAAAAGCATCAATTCTTCGGCGCTCTGCCTTCTTTATGGTCGAACTCTCATATCCGTACATAGAAAGACCATAGCTTTGACTATATGGGCCTTTGTCAACAAAGTGATGTCTTTGCTTTTTAATACACTGTCTAGGTTTGTCATAGCTTTCTTGCCAAGAAGCAATCGTCTTCTAACTTCATGGCTGCACTCATCACCCACAGTGATTTCAGAGCCCAAGAAGGGAAATCTGTCACTGCTTCCACATTTTCCCCTCCTATTTGCCATGAAGTGATGGGACTGGATGCCATGATCTTAGTTTTCTGAATGTTGAGCTTTAAGCCAACTTTTTCACTCTCCTCTTTCACTTTCATCAAGAGGCTCTTTAGTTC